AGGTCTGGAGGGTGGTGAGGGTGCGAATCTCCACGGGGAGATCGTTCCAAAGGGTCGGAGCTACTACCGAGAAGGCTCCCCATTATTATCAAGAGGGCGTGAAAATGTTGCGGCCCACCAGTGGCCAGCAGAGCTGGCAGCAGATTCGGACAGTGAGGAGGTTGGGGAGGAACCTGGGCCAGTCCTGGGGTCTGGGGAAGGCTCTGAGGGGGGCTCTGTGTCGGAGGCAGAGAGGGGGCCAGGGCCGTCTGACAGTTATCAGCTGACAAGATTCACACAGATAAACACCTTGTTGCATTCTGATCGCTTGGATTTTTCCAGGACAAATATGGTATGCTTTGATTTATAAAACGTGTGTGTGTGTGTGCGGATGACACCCCAGCAAACTCTTGATGCCCTTCATCCGTCGTTTCTTCCCTTCTGCTCAGGGCCACGTGGATTTTAACTATGAAGTGTCGCGGTCGTTGTCAGCCTGCCAAGGAGTCGTGTTGGTTGTAGACGCAAACCAGGTAGGCTTTCGAAATTAAGTCGAGTGTTGTTTCTGAAGGGGTGAAACAGTTCCCCGCATACAGGCTATGAAAAACTGGCTCAGCAAACAAATCGTCGTCTTCTTTTAATGACCCTATAACCCCTTGCAGGGTGGAATCCAGGCAACTGAATGAAGCTGAGTGTTTACTGGCCCACTGCCCTACCTGTTGCCAATGAGGAGTTTTGTTCGGCAGATCTATTCTCATCGTTGCCCAGAGAGAGAAATATCTGCCTCTGCCTGGGATCGAACTTACAGCCTCCTGATGGTGAGGCCAGAGGGCCATCACTAGGCCACCTCCCCCCCCCTTATTTTATGTAAGCCGCCCTGAGTCCCCTCAGGGAAAAGGGCGGCCTATAAGCATTAATAAATACCTAAATACCTCACCACTCTTGGCACACCATACAAAGGACTTTGTTAAATAACCTTTAAAAACACAAACCGAAAGGGATCTCTCATAGGTCTTTGTAAAAGAAACAGGAATTGGTGATCTTAGTCAGGAATCTTAAATGAAAGAATAAGTTGGAGCACGTGAAATTTTCTGTCCATATTAATTTCCTCTTTTGAGGTGTATTAAGGATTTTCAGAGATGGGATACCTACGTTGGGTGCCTTAAAACTAGGCCGATGAAGGCAGAAGGAATCAAATGTTTACAGTATAGTTGAGCTTTTAATCAGATATGATATTATTTTATTGCCCTTGTTCTGGATGTTTTATGGGCGTGGTTTAGAGACGCCCCCCTCTGCCCCCCAAGATTGGGCACCAAAGTTAATAAAAACAGCAACTGTGATCAGTGGCGGGATTTAAATAATTTAACAACCGGTTCTCTGGCGGGATAGGCATGGCCGGGTGGTCATGTGACTGGATGGGTGTGGCCAACTCAACATCACTTATCGCACTAACTCTGCCTCCCGGCCACTCGCCTCAAAGGCAAAGGGGGGATTCAGCAATTCTGACAAGTTCGGACTAATCCCACCACTGGCTGGCCATGCCCCACTAATTTTTCAGGTCGTTTTCGGCCATTTTCCAGCCTAAAAAGTGTCTGGGGGCGGGGTTAGCCAGTTCCCTGAAGTGGGTAGAATTTTCCCAACAGGTTCACCTGAACCAATCCGAACCGGCTGAATGCCACTTCAGGCTACAATGTTTCACCTGGAGTAAATCTTCCTTTCGTGCTTTCTTCCCGCTTTGGTTCGTGACCATCGATGCTATTTTTGCCCAAAATAAAAACATTGGTGGGGAAAATCCAACATTAGAAATTACGTTTGGTCAGGACATTCCCCCCCCCCCCATAAATAAATATAGGGGTTATCAGCTAGTTAGCAATAAAAATGTTACTTGCTCTGTTTCTAGTATTTACAGCTAATCTTTGTTTCAGGAGTACGAGCAGAAAAAATGTACGTTTCTCTCTGTTGTTGCATCGACAGATTTCTTTGGGGCTTCTGTTCTGCTTAAGCAACTATTTTTGCAAACAATGTAAAACATTACTGCGAACTGTTCGAAATTAATATGGTGTTGTTGTTGTTTTTAGGGTATCCAGGCTCAAACAGTAGCGAACTTTTACCTTGCATATGAAGCACAACTTTCAATCATTCCCGTTATAAATAAGGTAAGATTTCCATATTCTGCACAGCTTCTAAATTAATTTTAGATATTTTGCAAATCATACAGGCGGTGCTCGGCTAACGACCACAAACTGAGCTCAAGAGTTCGGTGGTTAAATGAGACGGTTGTTAAGTGAGTTTTGCCCCATTTTACGACTTTCCTGTTAAGTCACTGCAGTCAACTGGCGATTGGCCCACAGTCACCCAGCTGGCTTTTATGGAGAAGGCGGGACTAGAACTCACCGTCTCCTGGTGATTGGCCCACAGATACTCAGCTGGCTTTAATGGATAAGGTGGGACTAGAACTCCCCATCACCTGGTGATTGGCCCACAGTCACTCAGCTGGCTTTAATGGATAAAGCGGGATTAGAACTCACCGTCTCCTGGTGATTGGCCCACAGTTACCAAGCTGGCTTTAATGGATAAGGCGGGACTAGAATTCACCGTCTCCTGGTGATTGGCCCAAAGTCACCCAGCCGGCTTTTATAGATAAGGTGAGAGTAGAACTCACCATCTCCTGGTGATTGGCCTGAAATCACCCAGCCGGCTTTTATGGATAAGGTGGGACTAGAACTCACCATCTCCTGGTGATTGGCCCACAGTCACCCAGCTGTTTTTTATAAATAAGGTGGGACTAGAACTCACCGTCTCCTGGTGATTGGCCCACACTCACCCCGCTGGCTTTCATACCTAAGGCGGAACTATAATTCACTGTCTCCTGATTTCTAGCCTGGCGCCTTAACCAAACTGGGTTTTCTTCTTAAAATGGAGACTGACTTTAGGCACTTTCTAAGATTACACGTTTATTTGTCAAGCCGCTTCACGCATTTGCTCTAAATAATCCTCTTTGCCTTAAAAGATCCAGATGTTTATTCAGATTATTAGTATTAAAAAAAAAATAACAGCAGCAAATGGGCAAAGATCACCCCATCACCCCTCTAAGAATATATTATCTTTTCTCATTTCGCGGCAATGGAATTCCAGCTTTGCTTCATGGCAGCGACTGGCCTAATCTGAATTAATATAATCGTTTCGCTGTTTTGCAGATCGACCTCAAGAATGCCAACCCAGAGATGGTGGAAGCTCAGATTGAAAACACTTTTGATATTCTCAAAGAAGACTGCATTCGAGTAAGACGCCCTTTCCCAGTTTGCAAATATACCTGTGCTTTTTTTCCCCCCCACCCCCCCACCCAATGTGTAGAAATGGTTTTAGCTGGATAAGCCAAATGATTTTCTGAACCGCGCACTGCGAGGGCGGCCCATTCAGAAGCAAATTGCTTGAAATCCCATTCAAGGGAGTTCATAGTAAATGTGTATAGGATCACAGCCTGGTGCTGAAAAGTGATGTGCGCCCAGTTGTGTTATGTGCAGAGATTTCCCTGAAATCGTCCTGAAGGCTGATAATTTGCTTGCGAGGATGGATGGTCACTTTTGACAGTATAGATCATTTCCTTGTTTGGGTTTGGCAGCTGAATCTAGCTAATTGTGCCCTTCCTTCCTTCCTTCCTTCCTTCCTTCCTTCCTTCCTTCCTTCCTTCCTTCCTCCCTTCCTCCCTCCCTCCCCCATTTCCCGACTTCCCTACATACTTATCTATCTAATTTCCCTTGCTCCTGACATTGCTTGCATCTTTCCTTTCCCCCCTCCCTCCCTTCTTTCCTTCCTTCCTTTCCTTTCTCCCTTCCTCCCTTCCCTACTTCCCTACCTACCTTCCCTCGCCCCCTCCCTCCCTTCTTTCTTTCTTTCCTTCCTTTCCTCCCGCCCTCTCTCCCTCCCTTCCCTACCTACCTATCCACCTACCTTCCCTCGCTCCGCCATTGCTTCCTCCCTTCCTTTCCCTCCCTCCCTCCCTCCCTCCCTCCCTCCCTCCTTCCTTTACTTCTTTCCTTCCTTTCTTCCTCTCTCCCCCCTCCCTTTCCCTCCCTTCCCTACTTACCTATCTAGCTGCCCTCCTTTGCTTCCTCCATTGCCTCCTTCCTTTCTTTCCCTCCCTTCCTCCCATTCTCTTCCTTCTTTCCTTCCTTCTTCCTTTTTCTCTCTCCCTCCCTCACTTCCTTCCTTCCCTACTTAACTACTGTCCACCTGTATCTACTTACCTTTATTTGCTCCCTTCATTGCTTCCTTCCTGCCTTTCCCTCCTTTCTCCCTCGCTCCCTTTTTCCCTCCTTCCTTCTTTCCTAAATCCTTTCTTTGTCTAATGACACTTGGCCAAATATTCTATTCCTATTCTGTTCTTTCTGTTCTGTTTTATTCTATTCTTATTCTGTTCTATTCTCTATTATTCTATTCCTATTCTATTCTATTTTCCGATATTCTATTCTATTATTTTCTTTTCTGTTCTATTTCTTCTTCCAACTTTCCCTTCATCCTTCCTTCTCTCTCTCTCTCTCGCTCTCTCTCGCTCTCTCTCTTTCTCTCTCTCTCTCTCTTTCTCTCTCTCTTAACTCTTCTCCAGTTAATTTTAACATCTGGTTTCTCTCTCTCTCTCTCTCTTTTTCTCTTTCAATTTCTCCAGTTGAGTGTAGGAAAGATAAAACTTTTGAAAGAAACGAATTTTTACAGCTCTAGCTACCTACAGTGTGTTATCTTGATGTTTACTTTGCTGAAATATTTACTTCTGATGGGAAATGGCTGTGATTGTCAAATAAACAGCACTTTTATGCTATTCCTTGGGCAAGAATTTTTCAGATACAGGTAAATCCTCGACTTAAGAACAATTCACTTAGCCACCGTTCAAAGTTACAGCGGCACGGAAAAACGTGGCTCACCATCGTTCTTCAAAGTTACAAATTTTTCAGTGTCCTCGTGATCGCATGATCAGAATTCAGATGCTTGACCACAACTGACTCGTATTTATGACGGTTGCAGCATATCCTGGGGGAGGGGGCGTCCCGTGATCCCTTTTTTTGCCACCTTCCGACACGCGAAACCAACGGGGCCAGCCAGATTCACTTAACAACTGGGTTACAAACCAACTTATCCACGGCAGCGAATCCCTTGCCACAACGGTGCCAAGAAAGGTCCTATTATCCAATGTCTCGCTTAACGACACAAATTTTGGTCGTAAGTCGAGGACTGCCTGTATAAGGAATGTTACAATGGAAGCAGTTGCCTTGGACTAGTTTGGGTGCCTCACAGCCATCCCTGAAATGAGGCCAAATTGTTGACGTGTTTTTTTTTAAATTTCTCGTTTCAGATTTCAGCTAAACTTGGAACAAATGTTGAAAGAATACTTCAGGCGGTGATTGAACGGATTCCCCCGTAAGTTGGCTTTTTCCTGTCACATTTTTTTCCCCCTCAGAGTTGTCACTTCGGATTTGAATACGTACAGGTTGTCCTCAACTTACAGTTGAGTTTAGTGACTGTTCCAAGTTTACAACGGCACCTAAGTGATGATACTTAGGCTGCAAAATTCCTCTTTGTTAAGGGAGACGTTGGTTAAGTGAGTTTTATGATCTTTCTTGCGCCAATTGTGAAGTGAGTCGCTGGAGGGTAAGTTACCACATGGTTGTTAAATGAATTTGGCTTCCTGTTGTGACTCAGCAGAAGTTTGCTGTGAGTTGAGTCGGGATGCAAGATTAACAATGCAGCTGGGGCTCTTAAGTGGCGTCTTCTGGTGATAAAAGGTCGGATAGTGGTTGCAGGAGTCAACGTTCATTCATTCGTTCATCATTCATCGGTCGTGGTTTGTTTGTGAGAGACACTTGGAGAAGTGATTTGCTTTCTGTAACCCTGATTCAAGGAGACACTTGGAGAAGTGAATTGTTTTGTCGTAAGAGATTTTTGTTTTGCATTCTGTTATCTTCTGCCAGAGACTTTATTTATGTTTATTTTTGGGCTCGCA